GGAGTGGAGAGGCACGATCTCGGCTCACTGCAATCTCTGCCTCCCAGGTTCAAGCGATTCTCCTGCCTCAGTCTCCCGAGTAGCTGGGATTACAGGCATGCGCCACTATGCCTGGCTAGTTTTTTGTATTTTTGGTAGAGATGGGGTTTCACCATGTTGGCCAGGCTGTTACTTTAACTCCTGGCCTCAAGTGATCCACCCGCCTCGGCCTCCAAAAGTTATTTTTAGGCCAGGCACGGTGGCTTATGCTTGTAATCCCAGCACTTTGGGAGGCTGAGGTGGGTGGATCACTTGAGGCCAGGAGTTCGAGATCAGCCTGGCCAACATGGTAAAACTCTGCCTCTAGTAAAAATACAAAAATTATTCTGGCGCAGTAGCCCGCACCTGTAACCCCAGCTGCTCAGGAGGCTGAGGCAGGAGAATCACTTGAACCTTGGAGGTGGAGGTTGCAGTAAGCCAAAATTGTGCCACTGCACCCCAGCCTGGGCGACACAGCAAGACTCCATCTCAAAAAATAATAATAATAATTTTAATTTTGTGTGTGTGTGTATAAAATGAATGTACTTTTCTTAAAAATTTTCCATTCTTATTGAGTTTGATGTATGTTTTTCTTTCTTTGTATTTATTTTCTATGTATAAATACCTAAACAATATATACTTTTGGGTTTTTTTGAGGAGGGGACCTTTTTTTTTTTGAGATGGAGTCTCGCTCTGTTGCTTAGGCTGGAGAGCAGTCGTGTAATCTTGGCTTACTGCAACCTCCACCTTCTGGGTTCAAGCGATTCTCCTGCCTCAGCCTCCCAAGTAGCTGGGATTACAGGCACGCACCACCACGCCCAGCTAATTTTGTGTATTTTTGGTAGAGATAGGGTTTCACCATGTCGGCCAGGCTGGTCTCAAACTCCTGACCTCAAGTGATCTGCCCGCCTTGGCCTCCCAAAGTGCAGGGATTACAGGCCTGAGCCACCACGCCTGGCCAAGGGTAGACATTTTTAAATAAATTTTATACTATGTAACATTCTGCTTTTCACTCTATAGTATCAGTAAATATAGGTCACTCTCTTCAATCCTAGTGTTAGAAGATCTTTAAATTGTTAGCAGTCTGATAGGTGAAATATAAATGTCATTGTTTTATTTTGTATTTCTAAGGCTACTAGTGGAATTAAGCATCTTTTTGTGTGTTAATTGGCTATTAATGTTAACAAAATTATTTGTTTCTCATGTTACTATAGTACAGAAAATTTAAATTTTGATGTAGTCAAATACAGTTGACCTTCAAACAACGTGGAGGTTAGGGATGCAACCCCCGCCAGCAGTCAAAAATCCACATACAGCTTTTGACTCCCCCAAAACTTAACTACTAATAGCCTACTGTTGACCAGGAACTTTACTGATAACCTAAATAGTAGATGAGCACATATCTTATATATGCATTATATACTGTATCCTTACATAAAGTAAGCTAGAGAAAAGGAAATGTTACTAAGAAAATCATAAGGTAAAGACAACATATTCACTATTCATTAAGTGGGAGTAGATCATAAAGGTTTTCATCCTTGTCATCTTCACGTTGAGTAGGCTGAGGAGGAGGAGGAAGTGGAGGGGTTGGTTTTGCTGTCTCAGGGGTGGCAGAGGCAGAAGAGGTAGAGGAGATGGAAGGGAAGGCAGGAGAAGCAGGCACACCAGTGTAACTTTTGAAAAAGTGCATGTATACAATCTGGTGGGCCGTTACAAAAATTAATTTTTTAAAAATCTGCATGTAAGTAATGTAAGTGGACCTGCACCATTCAAACCTGTGTTATCTGAGGGTCAGCTGTATATCAGCCTGTTCCTTTTCCTGGTTTTGGTTTTTGTAACTTGTTTAAAATAGCTTCTCTCCCTCTTATTCATAAACATACTCTCCTGTCTTCTCATGATACTTTTATAGTTTCTTTTAATATTTAGACCTTCAGTACATCCTAAAATTTTGTGAATGATTTGAGTGTAAAGACCTAACTTTTTTCCTCAAATATATAATTGTCCCAATTTATTAATAGTTCATCCTTTCCCACTGATTTGAAAGGCCAGCTTTATTATATATGAAATTTCCAAACATTAATATACATATATTCAAACACAAGCATGTGTGCCAGGCATACATATACATATATGTTGGAATTTAGTATAAAGACTGGCCACCATTCTCTCCCATTGGTGTATTTGTCTCCCATGTCAATACCACACTGTTTGATAACTACCAGTACAAGTACCTCCATTTGTCTTTCTCTTTCAAAATTGGTTTGGTCATTCTTCTACATTTATTCTTCTATATTAACCCTTCATTATTTAGATGTTTAAGAAGATAAGGGAAATTGTTTCCATCATTGGGGGATATTCAAAAAGATAAAGACTTTGAGAACAGCTTCAAAAACGGGGGATCAAAAATATTTTTAGAAGTTGGAGGTATAACCAGATGATAATTTTGATGGGAAGTATATATCTGTTTAGTTTTGGAGGGTTTTTTTTTATGGTTCATTAGTTACATCACCCCATTTTGTAATGCATTAGCCATCTCCCAGTTTCGTACATTTTGATGTAATGCTGTATATGTAAACCCTTTGTACATCTTTAATTCATTAAAATGTTGAACACGAAAGATGAAGATAGAGGCTTGACACCCTCAATTTCGCTCTAAGAGATACAGAGCTTTTAATGATTTTGATTTTGATTAACTAGTTCTGAGTCTGCAAAAGTATACACTTATCCCCGAGAAGAGGCTTGATCAAATACTTAGTTATAATTTACATTACACTATGTCCTCAGTAACCCCCAATTCCCAACAAGGAAATGAAATTAAATTCAGCATGTCCTGCATTATCCCTGCCTTCTTATAGAAAATCTTTCAGATGATCCAATGGTTTTAACTTCACAAAAACTGAGGTTTACGAAGAGGAAGCAATTCAGGAAGCACCAATGGTAAACTAAAAGTAGGATGTCCTGGATATGATTCCAGGCCTATGTGGAACTTATCCCTTCCCTACTCCCACTGTGGCATTCCCTCCCCTCTTTCTCTTTTACTGCTTCAGATCCATAGTAGCAGAGAAATTCTAAGTGATGCAAACTGGCTTCAGATCCCACAAGGTTACCAATTACTGGCTGTGGTACATGGGCCTCATATGTAAAAGGGAGACAATAAGCAATAATATCTTTCTCATAGGGTTATTGTGAGGATTCAATGAAATCCTTTAAAAACACTTAGAACATTAGCCAGGGATAGTGGCACATGCGTGTAGTCCAAGCTACTTGGGAGGCTGAGACAGGAGGATCCCTTGAGTCCAGGAGTTTGAGGCTGCACTGCAGTCCTGCCTGGGCAACAGAGTGAGACCCTGTCTCTAAACAACAAAACAAGCCAGGCGCAGTGGCTCACGCCTGTAATCCCAGCACTTAGGGAGGCCAAGGCAGGTGGATCACTTGAGGTCAGAGTTTGAGACCAGCCTGGCCAACATGGTGAAACCCCATCTCCACTAAAAATACAAAAATTAGCCAGGTGTGGTGGCTGGTGCCTGTAGTCCCACCTACTCGAGAGGATGAGGCAAAAGGATTGCTTGAGCTCAGGAGGCAGAGGTTGTAGTGAGCAGAGATCACATCATTACACTCCAGCCTAGGTGATGGGAGTGAAACCCTGTCTCAAAAAAAAAAAAAAAAAACTTAGAACAAGCTGGGTGTGGTGGCACATGCCTATAGTCGCAGCTACTTGGGAGGCTGAAGCAGGAGGATTGCTTCAGGCCAGGAGTTCGAGTCTAGCCTGGGCAACATAGCAAGATGCCATCCCCAAAACAACAACAAAACCACACTTAGTGCATGGCACATTAGTCAGCTGTATTTAGTATATCTGTTGTTGTCATCATTAAGTAATCAACACATCATTAATAGTGTGTGCTGTTAAGTCATTTAACTTTTCTAGTCCTCAGTTTTCTCCGCTGTAAAATGGTATGGCTTAACTAGATGATCTCTGAGGTTTCTGTTAGCTCAGTCTATAATTCTGTGATTTGGAATCTATATAAAGTAGTTCCTCCCTATGTCTAGGAAAGTTTTCTTTCCCTACCTATACTTATTAAAAGGAGCAATTTTGCTTCCTTAGTACATGACAATGTGCTTTTTCAGAAATCCTCTGAAAAAAGAAATGTGGTTAAATTTTCCTTGACTAGAGAGGTTTCATTGCCAGCATTTTTAGCAGGAATGAAATGGAGAGTATAATTTATTGGAAGTACTGTGAAGAGAGGGAAGGAAATGGCGTTGAAGTCCATTAACTTTGGTTAATGGATAATTTGATAATGCTCCTTGGTAAGGAGCATATATGGAATGATGACACAATAAAAAGTTAATATTCATTGAGCATTTTCTATGTGGGAGGCACTGTGCTAGCATGTATTATCTCATTTAATCTTTGCAACAACCTCACTAGATAGATATTCTTATAATCCCCATTTTGCAGTTGAGGAGCATGAGGCACAGAGAGATTAAGGAAATTCCTTAACATCACACAGCTAGATGGTGATAGAGGTGGAATTTGAACATATATAATCTGATTCTAACACCCATGCTCTTAAACCATTATGCCATACTGAATTGATTCCAGGTACGGCATCAATTGGTTCAAATAACTAGAATGCTTCAAATGAGGACATACGATTTAACAACTAACGATCCTATGAAAAAGTTGAAAGATGAATATAACGAACATCGCATACATGTTTATCAATTAACATTTTGCTCCGTTTAATTTATCTCTATAGAAGATCTCCTTTTCAAAAAAGCAAATGGCAGACATCATGGTGCTCCAATGAACAAGGACAGTCTCCTGAATAACAATACCATTATCACAGACAAGAACTATAACAATTAGAACAAATTTAATAACCTTTAGTTTGCTTTTTAGATAAGTCAAATCTTTTAGATCATTGAAATTGCATTGCTAAAAAACAAACTCTTACCACGATCTGATTTTTCTCTCTTCTCAGAAATCATATTCCATGCCCATCAGCATTGAATTTCAGCGGAGATATGCAACAATTGTTCTAGAGCTTGAACAGCTGAACAAGGACCTAAACAAAGTTTTGCATAAAGTTCAACAGTATTGCTATGAGGTAAGTGATATGTATAGATTTCCCTCCATATTTTTATTTAAAGCTTAATCCTTTTACCTTCACACTTTAGAAAATCCATACCAAGCCAATATCTTCATAAAGTCCTTTAGCAAAACTGTATTATATGAAGTTTCTTACTCCTCCCAGCATCAGTGTTGAAGAGTGCTTTATACATAGAAAGCTGTCAATTTTGAATTTTTTGGTTCAAGATACAAATAAGGCCCTCCAAAAAACTTTGGAAAAATCCAGAAAACTAGTTATTCTTAATTCCACTACCCCAGAGACCAAATTTTGTTGTTGTTTCTTTTTCTTTCTCTCTCTCTTTCTTTTTTTTTTTTTTTTGAGACAGGGTCTTGCTCTGTTGACCAGGCTGGAGTACAGTGGTACAGTCTTGCAATCTTGGTGAACTACAGCCTCAACTTCCCCAGGCTCAAGCTATCCCCCAACCTCAGCCTCCTGAGTAGCTGGAACCACAGGTGCACAACATGCCCAGTTTATTTTTGTAGAGATGAAGTCTTGCTATGTTGCCCAGGCTGGTCTCAAACTCGTGGGCTCAAGCGATCCTCCTAACTTGGCCTTCCAAAGTACTGAGATATAGGCGTGAGCCACCAAACCCAGACCCCTGTATCCTTTTATTCAAGACCGGGGCCTCACTATGTTGCCCAGGCTGGTCTCAAACTCGTGGGCTCAAGCGATCCTCCTAACTTGGCCTTCCAAAGTACTGAGATATAGGCGTGAGCCACTGTGCCCAGCCCCAAAGAGCAAATTTTGGTCTATTTCTCCTTAGTCTTTTTTGGTGTTTTGTTTTGTTTTAAACAATACATGCTTTTTCTCATAAAGTTCTGATCATGCTGGCTATACAATTTTGTTGCCTTCTCTTTTAAACCTTAAATTAGCATTAGAACTATGAATTCTTGAATTTCAAATACATAGATAACAGGGTTATTTGTGAATTTTCATTCACGTGTGATTATATGAGAGTGGTTCAACAATTGAGTTTCCTATTACAGAGTAAGAATTAAAATGATTCAGGTGAGTTTAAAATGCTCCTGCATTTGCATACTTTGAGGTTGTGTGTTTCCAGGAAAGCCATCTCTGTTTGTGATATCAGATTCTTTTTTCGTTTGTTTGTTTTGAGACGGAGTCTTACTCTCTTGCCCAGGCTGGAGTGCAATGGCACAATCTCAGCTCACTGGAACCTCTGCCTCCCAGATTCAAGTGATTCTCCTGCCTCAGCCTCCTGAGTAGCTGGGACTACAGCTGTGCACCACCATGGCTAATTTGTTTGTATTTTTAGTAGAGATGGAGTTTTACCATATTATAGGCCAGGCTGGTCTCAAACTCCTGACCTTAAGTGATCCGCCCTCCTCGGCCTCCCAAAGTGCTGGGATTACAGACGTGAACCACCATGCCCAGCCGTGATATCAGATTTTTTTTTTTTTTTTTTTTTTGAGACAGAGGTTCACCCTTGTTGCCCAGGCTGGAGTGCAGTGGCACAGTCTTGGCCCACTGCAACCTCCGCCCCCCGGGTTCAAATGATTCTCCTGCCTCAGCCTCCCAAGTAGCTGGGATTACAGGCATGCGTTACCATACCCAGCTAATTGTATATTTTTAGTAGAGACGGGGTTTCTCCATGTTGGTGAGGCTGGTCTCAAACTCCCGACCTCAGGTGATCTGCCTGCTTCAGCCTCCCAAAGTGCTAGGATTATAGGCGTGAGCCACTGCACCCAGCAGTATCAGATTTTTAAACAGTTGGCTTATTTTCCTAATAGTTGTCAGTCATCCACATAACAATATGCATTGTATTAGTAAATAGATTTTCTCCCCTAGACTAGCAGCTATTCACAAGACATGCAGACTATGCAGTCCAGGATGACACATAACAAAGCCGATGGTACATGCAGAAACGGGTTGCTCATCAATCTTTTTGTAGTACCCAAGGCCATTTGTGATAGGCTCCTTTCCTAATGAAGTAAAGTGATGTAATCCTCTCAAAACTCTTAAGGAACTACAATATAGAAGTTATAGTAATAAAGAACATATCACAGAGTACACCATGACTAAGCAATTCTACTTCTCAATATATACCAAAAAGATACATCAACATGTATTTACCAAAATACATATACTAGAATATTCATAGCATCACTGTTCATTATAGCCAGAAATCACAAACTACCCAAATACCCATCAGTACTACAATTGAATGATAAACATGGTATAATTACACAATGGAAATGCTACCCAGCAGTGAGAATGAAAGAACTCAACTACAACTCAGCGCCATGGATGGATCTCACAAATACAACGTTGAACAAATAAAGTCAGACACAAGAGAATATATAATGTATGATTACATTTTTATAAAACTGAAAAGCTAACCTCTGATGCTAGAAGTCAGGATGGTGGTTACCCTGAGGGAGGTGGTACTGGAAGATGGCATTATCAGGGGGTCTGGGGCATTGGTAGTATTCTGGTTCCTAATCTAGTTGCTGACTTCTCATTTTTGAGAATGTTTGATTTGTGAAAACTCATTAGCCTGTACACTTCATGATTTGTGTACTTTTATGTATTTATGTGTGCTTCAATTTAAATTTTACAAAAGTATTAGAGGATACAGTTATTCATTGAAGCAGTATTGGTAATTATAAAATGTTAGAAATAAACATAAATGCCCACACATAGGAAACTATTTATGGTACATCCACACAATTGAATATTATGCTGCTGTAAGAGAGGAAGCTCTCTACTTTACTGATATGGAGTGATTTCCAGGATGTGTTATTAGATGCAAAAAGCAAATACAAAAATACACATACATATTCCAAAGTATATTACCTTTGGAGTAGGAAATAAGTGGAAATACTATATATATGTATCAGCTTAATTTTTCAAAAGGAAACACAGAAAGGATATATTAGAAACTAATTTGGGAATGGGGTAGGAGTTGGTGAGTAAGAAGGAATGACATTTTTTTGAGTGTTCGTTTCCCCAACAAATACAAGTAAACTCTAAAGTGTAGTACAAACAGAAATAAACGAACCTAACTATATTTCAAAGGAGTGACATTAACTTACTGTTACTGAAGGGGATAAAAACTGATTCAGATAGCTTGAACATAGCATAGGTTGAGCATCCCAAGTCTGAAATGCTTCAAAGTCCAAAATTTTTTGAGTGCCAAAGTGAAACTCAAAGGAAATGCTCACTGGAGCATTTCGGATTTTGGAGTTTTGTATTTGGGATTCTCAACCAGTAAGTATAATACAAATATTCTAAAATTTTAAAAAATCCTAAATCCAAAACACTCTCCCTTTTTTTTTTTTCTTTTTTTTGAGATGGATTTTCGCTCTTGTCCACCAGGCTGGAGTGCAGTGGCGCAATCTCGGTTCACTGCAACCTCTGCCTTCCAGGTTCAAGCGATTCTCCTGCCTCAGCCTCCCCAGTAGCTGTGATTATAGGCACGTACCACCATGCCCAGCTAATTTTTATATTTTTAGTAGAGACGGGGTTTCACCATGTTGGCCAGGCTGGTCTTGAACTCCTAACCTTAGGTGATCCACCCACCTTGGCCTCCCAAAGTACTGGGATTACAGGCATGAGCCACCACGCCCAGCAGCAGTTCTGAAACTCTTACTGTGTACTCTAGGACAGCAAAGAAGCAAGTAAGTATATTGAACTTGGGAAGCAGAGGTTGCAGTGAGCTGAGATCACACCACTGCACTCCAGCCTGGGCAACAGAGTGAGACTGTCTCAAAAAAAAAAAAAAATTTTGAGGATAATGGAAGCCAGGTTTCTCACTGTTGAAGAAGGCAGTTATGAAGAGGGAGAAGACTAGAGTGAACCCTGTGGCATTAGATGGGAATAGGGGGAATCAGTATGAATTCATGGCTTATTTTATCTTTATGATACAAGTATAAGTGAGTGTATATGTCTGCTGAGAGGGCCAAAAGCAATACACCCTAATAGCAAAGAACACACCTAGACCCAGATCTTGGTCTCTCAACTCTGTTCTCCAATTTTAAAAAGCAGGACTCCTTGAAAAAGAGACTGATTCCAGACCTGGGGCAGAGAAAGAAGATGAGCCTGGCCCACCTTATTATGCCAAGGAAGTAAAATGTGCCCCCAAATTATGGGGACGTGTCAAAAAGAGCCAGCTTGACAGGGTTCCCACTGGCCAAATCTGGGACAATTTGAGCTTCAGAATAAATAAATATAGTAAGAGATTATAACCCATAGAATAAAAGTCATATCAGTATGGGTTCATACTAATTCATTTTTTAAGGGAAACTACTTTGTAGTAAAATGCCAGCTAATAAATACAGAAGCAGTGTTAAGAGTGAGAAAAACACCATTTTGCAACCATCATAGTAATAATTAATATAGACAAGAATCATCAACAGATGCTAAAATTGGTAGGTAGAAGTTTGATGACAAATAGGATGTTTACATAGCCTCAAAGTATCTCTTCACAACTACTTAGTACTTACAAAAAGGAAATCCTTTACTGTAGGGAAATCTGGCAGACACTTACCAATTGATCAAAGAGAACATCACCAGTAATGGGACAGGTCAACATCACGTGCCTTCTAATAAAGATACCAGAGAACCCAGCACCATGTTTGTAGTATTTCTGCCCAAAAATGCGTAACTTCAGTCTAATCATAAGGAAACAGACAAACCCACATTGGGGGATATTACACAAAATAATTGGCTCGTACTCTTCAAAAATACCAAGGAAATACAAACTGGATTGATTAGAGGTAATGAGGCACAATGTTTGCAACTTATTCTTAAATTACTAATGGGAAGAATTATACATTCACAGAGATCAAATGGCAGATCAAATGTAGTAAAACATAAACAGTGAATCTGAGTAAATGTTATCAAGAGTTCTTTGTTTTATTCTTTTAACTTTTTTTAGAAGTTTGAAATTATATCAAAATTAAAAGTTACAAAAAATAGAAAATAAATCCGAAACTGTTAAAGAAAAAAACTTGTAAAAGTACCATTTTAGTTTAAATGCTAGTTTTATAAAAATTAAAATCTGAAAAGAGGGCAGAAACACATACAGAAATAATCGTGGCTTCTTGAACATGCATCTCATGCTTCAATCATCTGTATTCAGCTTGCTCCAGACCAGGGGCTCCAGCCTGCAGATCAGCCAACAGATATGAGACGCAGGTGTGAGGAAGAAGCACAGGAAATTGTTCGGCATGCAAATTCCTCAACAGGACAGCCCTGTGTGGAAAATGAAAATCTGACAGACTTAATTTCCAGGCTTACAGCTATTTTGTTACAAATTAAGGTAAGTCTTAGAGAAAATATTTTCTTAATTTGACACAAAGCAACCCATGCTGACTTGTTGCTAAGAAATTAATTAATTGATTCTATCAGGTATTTTATGACTGTATTTGAACTATAATTCAATTAAATTTTGAAACTTTTTTCCCTTTAGTGTCTAGCAGAAGGTGGAGACCTGAATTCCTTTGAATTCAAATCACTTACAGACTCATTAAATGATATCAAGAGTACAATAGATGCTTCTAATATCAGGTAATTTGTTAGGTACACTCTAATCATTTTAATGTGAAGTTCATAGTGATTTTCTGTCCAAGTTTTAAGAGTTATGCATATTTGTGAAGTACTCGTATATTATTATCCATTAAATATATTTTTAAGAGCTTTTCACTTATATCCAGCCTATTGACAGAATAGAAATTTCACATGGATTTTGTATATAAAGAAATCAAGAGATGTATTTAGGTTTGGGGTTAGCATGGAGGTTCAGCTTAGAAGTAGAGCTTCCCCAGTCAGTGAGAGGCTCATCTTCTCCTTCCAGCCCCACATGGCTCCTTTGCTTCTTTAGAGCATATTTGTTCAACTACTACTGAAGTAGAATTATGGCTAATGTATTATAGGAGATTTATTCCTTCCCTAAGATTTATCATAGCTGTTTCCTAAAATTCAGCTCTTCCTTTTTTAAAAATTATTTCTTAATTTTTTGAAATAAAGTAGTTAACCATGTTTCTTCTTTCTTTAGTTGCTTTCAGAATAATGTAGAAATCCATGTTGCACATATTCAGAGTGGCCTGAGCCAGATGGGAAACTTACATGCCTTTGCAGCAAATAACACCAACAGAGACTGAGTAAAGATTTCATTATTCCAACTGCACGGGACATTGTTTTTGAGAAGTTCTTTTCCTTTATATAGGCTTCCAACACCAAATAACCTAACTGCTGGAAAACAAGGGAAATTTAAATCTCCAAATAAGGCATTTTAATAGACTGTACTGCTTCTTAAACCAGCATTGCTGACCAGCATTATATTTATTTTTCTTTTATTATTCTGATGCAGTAGCATTGCTTATGTTACATATGTTTATATTCACAAATATTTTTAAACTGAAATATCTGAACATAATATAATTTCGTGGAAGAATACATTGACCATTTTTTTTAATGTGCATGAATTCACCGCAACACATGCAGACAACTGCTGCAATGGAGAGTATGAAGAAACCTGGTCTTTTTGTTCATGTCGGTGGCAGTGTGGAAATTCCATCCAGAAAATTACAACTCCACTTGATTTAGTTGATCACCATCTCAGTCTTCAAAAGATAACATCATGAGGTGTGGGAAGTCCTAGTTTTAAGGAAGCCACTGAAATATAGATGGGAAATGTGGACTATACAAGTATATGTTATATATACTTGCAATGTGACATGGTTCTATAGATCATTTTATAATAATAAATATTTTAATTTATCATAACTTATATAAAAGAAACCTTTGCTGTTTGTTGAAAGAAAATGAAGGAACAGGAAGAAAGGTGCAAAATGCTAAATTTCTGCAAATGGATTTGGCATGTCTTCCCGTCAGTTCAGGTCAAAAGTGCATTGTTATGAGATTTATTTAAAAAAAAAAAAAAAAAGACTGATAACACACTATTTTCATATTTTTTTTTTTGTTTATTTGCACAACTTTTAAACCAGATTACTGGTTAAAATCCAACAGTACACAATTTATAAAGTAAAAAGATTTTATAAAGAAAACAAATATAATAACCAGTGCTGTGAAATGCAGAAGAAAGGCTTGTTTGGGTTGTTTTTCTTTTTTAGGAAAACCTTGCCTAAAATGTTAATCTTGTAAAAAGTATGTATTTGGAATTTTCTTCGTTTTAATATAGAATATTATAAAGTCAAAATATAAATTTTTTTCAAATTTGGAGTTTAAGATATAGCTGTAGAGGTGGTTTTAATTCCTTTAGATGTCTCATAAAATGAGACTTTTTATATGTTAATGTATAATAAACAAGATTATTTTCCATTTGGAATTTTTGTATAGTTTAAAAAGGCTTCTGTATTCTTTGTTGGTATTGTGCCACTGCAAAACTTTAGTGCAGAGTTTATATTTAGCTAAACTGTTATGTTAATTAAGAAATGCATAAATCTTCTATTCTTAATATTTGTAATTCTAAATAAATTGATCTATGAAAATTATTTTCTATATTTTCATTTAATTCAAGTCGATATGCATACCTTCTGTTTAAAAAGTTTTGAAGAATTTGTAATTTCCATTAAGTTATATTTTTAGGGGAAACAGTACAAATTACCGAGCCTCTCTGAAGTATCATACCATCCAATGGTATGGATTTTATTTATTACCATACCATCCAGTGATAGGGATTTTATTTATTGCCATACCATCCAGTGGTATGGTATTAAGCAGGTAAGTTATTTGGCCTGGTATAGACCTAGTGAAAGGTTGATTGCAATATATTCTGCCTAGAATTGGGTAAGTATTTTGTGCATTTTTTCTTTTACATTCTTTTTTTTTTTTCTCTGTCACCCAGGCTAGAGTGCAGTGGTGCAATCTCAGCTCACCGCAACCACCAGCTCCCGGGTTCAAGGGATTCTCCCGCCTCAGCCTTCTGAGTAGCTGGGATTACAGGCACACGCCGCCACGCCTAGCTAATTTTTGTATTTTTAGTAGAAACAGAGTTTCACCGTATTGGTCAGGCTGGTCTCGGACTCCTGACTTCAAGTGCTCCACCCGCCTCAGCCTCCCAAAGTGCTGGGATTACAGGCGTGAGCCACCACACCCGGCCTCTCTTATATTTCTTAAGGCTTACTTGTCACACTTAAATAGTACCTCATTTTACACATACTTAATTGAGCACTGTTTGTCTTTCAGTGCCTTCATGTGTTGACAGCAGGGACTGTGCTGAAGAATACAGTTGAATTTTATTTCTGCTTAGGGAGGAAGAAATCTGTATTTCAAAGTAGTCATGTTGGGTCAGCCATACATTGATTTGAATGATATGCCACTGCCTAACACACTTCTGGAGCTCTAAAGAAAGCTATCAAAGCCAGATTGAGCAAATATGCAAGCACATACATGGCTTTTTTTATATATAGATTTGGTTCTGAGTTACTTTAAGCCAGTTCCAAAAGTCACATTCACTCGTAACCACTGAGAATCTACAAAAAGATTTGCCCATTAGCATTTTTGAATCCATGCACCTCTCTCCATCTTCATTACCACCACTACTTGCAGCCCAGCTGCCATCGTCAGTGACCTGGAACACTGCAGTTGTCTTCTAACATCTCCCAGCATCTACTCAGCCCTGTTCAAATGCAGCCAGAGGGATCATCTTAAAATGCGGAATTAATCATGTTATCCCTCTGTCTATAAATGTTTTTAAAATCTTCATTTGGCTTTCAGGACAAATTCAAAACTCTTTTACAAGACCTATAAAGTCATGCATGATCTGCCTCCCTCCCCAACTTCTTTATCTGCTCACTACTTCACAGGGTCTTGGCACATGCAGTACCTACGTTCCCTCTCCTTTCCTTGGTAACTCTTGATCATTTTCTAGATCTCACCTTCAGCATCACTTGTTCAAGGAAGATTTCCTTGACCACAACACATCTCCTATTATAATGTCTCCAGATCATATCTCTCTCCTTCCAGCACTTGTCACATTTGCAATTTAATATTAATATTTCCTGGAGGTCTTTTGTCTCCCTACTGGCCTCTGCTCCATGAGGGGAGGGACTGTTTCTGTTTTTGTTCACCATTTATTTCCAGGTCCTGGTAAAGTGCCTGTTCATGGGCAACAAATAAATATTTGTGTAATGAGTGGGCAAATGAGAGTTTAAAAAAGGTCTAAGCATCATTAATATCATCAGAATAAGAGTGAGGTCTTCCGTGATGATTTCTTTGAAAGATGAGACAGTAATGACTGGCATGTAGAAATTCTGACTTGGGGACTGCTTTTAAACCTATCACATTACTTTATCATCAGTATCATTAGTCCTGACTAACAAGACCAGTGCAATATAGGAGTGTGGTGGTAGACTAATGGGTGGGCTGAGTTTGAGTCCTGGCCATGCCATTTATAAGCTGTACAGTTGTGAACCGCTACTTAGATTCAGTTTCTTGATCTTTAAAGTAGGAAGATTAGTCCCTGTCTTACATGGTAGGTGTGAGAATAAAATAGATAATGTCTGTAACACATTTAACAGTTAGGGACTCTTAGAAAGTTTGAGAGAGCTGCAGGCTACTTCGTAGAGGATCCCACAATTTAAAATGTGACAACAGGATTTACATATTTGTAGATTTTTACAGTTGTTCACTGGGGAAACAACATAAGACAATATAAAAGCAATAATACAATAATTACAAGATTTTTTCATAAGTGTGATTCTTAGTGGACCATAATTTAAAGTGTTATATGTCTTTCAGTTTTGTGAATGTATTTGTAGTATGTCATTTGGCCATGTCACAAGTTTAAATGTGATTGTGAGACCTCCTGAGCACCTCCAGGATGGGCCCTGAGCATAATGTTAATAGCTAATGTTTATCAGCTCATTTTTGGTTTCAAACAGTTTTCAAAGAATTGAGAAGTACACTTTGCTGCTAAGGCCTCAACTATGTTCTCTTGGCTGCTTTTTGTTGGGGGGATGGCAGGGACAAGGTCTCACTCTGTCACTCAGGCCAAGTGCAGTGGCACGCTCATAGGTCACTACAGCCTTGAACTCCTGAACTCAAGCAGTCCTCCCACATCAGCCTCTCGAGTAGCTGGGACCACAGGCACATGCCACCATGCCTGACTTTTTTTTTTTGAGACAGAGTCTCACTCTGTCACCCAGGCTGGAGTGCAGTGACCCAATCTCGGCTCACTGCAGCCTCTGCCTCCTGGGTTCAAGCAGTTCTCCTGCCTCAGTCTCCCGAGTAGCTGGGACTACAGGCTCCTGCCACCACGCCCGGCTCATTTTTGTATTTTTAGTAGAGACAAGGTTTCACCATGTTGACCAGGCTAGTCTTGAACTCCTGACCTCAAGTGATCTGCCCACCTCGGCCTCCCAAAGTCCTGGGATTACAGTGTGAGTCACTGTGCCTGGCTTTTTTTTTTTTTTTTTTGAGACAGGGTCTTGCTATGTTGTCCAGACTGGTCTCAAACTCCTGGGGTCAGACAGCCTCCCACTTCAGCCTCCCAAAGTGCTGGAATTACAGGCATGAGCTACTGTGCTCAACTTCCTGGTTGGTTGGTTGCTTGCTTTTTTCCTAAACTTATAAGTGCTTGGAAACTCTTGGTTGGTTTTTGTTATTTTTGTTGTTGTTTTCGTTTTTTGAGATGGATTCTTGCTTTGTTGCCCAGGCTGGAGTGCAGTGGCGCGATCTTGGCTCACTGCAACCTCCACCTCTCAGGTTCAAGCAGTTCTCCTGTCTCAGCCTCCCGAGTAGCTGGGATTACAGGCATGTGCCACCACGCCTAGCTAATTTTTGTATGTGGTGGTGTTTTTTGACACAGTCTTGCTCTGTCGCCCAGCTCTTGGTTGTTTTAAATGGTGGATTTGCTACCCTGAAAAGTACAGGCCAGGCACGGTGGCTCACACCTAATTCCAGCACTTTGGGAGGCCGAGGTAGGCGGATCACCTGAGGTCAGGAGTTCAAGACCAGCCTGTCCAACATGGTGAAACTCTGTCTCTACTAAAAATACAAAATGTAGCTGGGCATGGTGACGGGTGCCTGTAATCCCAGCCACTCGGGAGGCTGAGGCAGGGAGAATTGCTTGAACCCAGGAGGCGGAGGTTGCAGTGAGCCGAGATTATGCCACTACACTCCAGCCTGGGTGACAGAGCAAAACTCCATCTCAGAAAAAGAAAAAAGAAAAGTACAAACCACTTGAATAACATCTCTGAAAATTAGGGCATCTGGCATATATAATCTCGGGCTCTTCTAGTAATCATCAAGACATGATGTCCTGGCCCTCGCTAGCTATGGCATCCCATGAGCCTACTTCAAAGCACAGTTTACAAAGAAACCTCACCTATGGGTTACCTCATAACACAGACCATTTCCTTTGACTCTAAAGGAGTTTGAAAACTCTCAAAATATCAAAATATTTTAATTGATCTTAGACTGACTTAGAAATGGTTATTTACATACATTTAGAATTATAAATTACAAAGAGAAATCTCCCAAAACCAAATACTCATAAAATATTATTAAATATTCAAGCAAAAATATGTTTTTGGTTTTTTTTTGTTTTTTTGAGACGGAGTCTCGCTCTGTTGCCCAGGCTGGAGTGCAGTGGCGTGATCTCGGCTCACTGCAAGCTCCGCCTCCCAGGTTCACGCCATTCTCCTGCCTCAGCCTCCCAAGTAGCTGGGACTACAGGCACCCGCCACCACACCCGGCTAGTTTTTTGTATTTTTGTAGAGACAGGGTTTCACCATGCTAGCCAGGATGGTCTCGATCTCCTGACCTCGTGATCCACCTGCCTCGGCCTCCCAAAGTGCTGGGATTACAGGCGTGAGCCACTGCGCCCAGCCTGCAAAAATATGTTTTTAACCAAATTAAATTTCTCAGCTCAGTGGCCTGGTGATATAATATCGATTACTGGCTAAAAACTACATTTGCAGAAACTTTTAGAAATGTCTTTCATGGCCACATAGTATGTACTGAGCAATTGTGGAGTGAAGCACTGTACTAAGAGTTATCTAAAAGAATTCATTTAAATGGAAATTACATTGAAACATTTGTGAAAGACATTTAATAATCCACAAAAGTTGCATAGGAAATACAGTAACAAGTGCTAAGGGTAACATTGGAGTGATCGAAGTAACAGGTGCCAAATCAGGATTAGAGAAAATTTCAGACTTCAGAAAGCGGGCGGGGAGTCCTCGAGTGTTTTGAAAGTGAAAGGTATGAATTTGGTTCAAAACTGAAAGGAGTGACCTTAAGACCAAAATGTATGCTGTGGAAAGTTGACCTTCAGATTTGCGTAGCTGTCCTGCAGGCTAAGGGTATCAGTTATCTGGGAGGATAACTGAAAGCTTTTTATAATGTGGTAGCAACTGGAGGTTACCACAGAACCATAGAGTAATTTTTTTTTTTTTTTTTTTTTTTGGGAGTCTCCCAGGCTGGAGTGCAGTGGCGTGCACGATCTTAGAACACTGCAACCACCACCTCCCAGGCTCAAGTGATTCTC